GACCTCTTTGAGACCATCTTCAGCACGGCCCATCGAGGCAGCGCGCTGCCCCTGGCCATCAAGTACATGTTTGACTTCCTGGATGAGCAGGCAGATAAGCACAACATCCACGATCCTCACGTGCGGCACACCTGGAAAAGCAATTGGTGGGTGCTTCCGAAGAGCCCGGCGCACCTGGGCTCAAAGGGGAAGCCATTTGCAGAAACGTTCCTAAAATTGAAGGGGGGTTTTTTCGGAACCTTTCTACCCAAGGGAACCAGAAGCAGCTAGGGCAGAGTCAAGAAATGCCACATCCAAAATGTAGAGTAGTCCTTGACTTATGACTTAAGGGAGGGAGGGAGGGAAAGAGGGAACAGAGATTAAGAAGGAGGGACGGAGGGAGGGGAAAGAGGGAAAGGGAAGGAAAGAAAGGAGGGAGAGAAAGAGAGGGAACAGAGACAAAAAAAGAGGAAGGGAGGGAGAGAAAGAGAGGGAATAGGGAAAGGAGAGAGAGGGAGAACACAAGGAAGGAGGGAGGGGAAAAAGGAAGGGAGGGAGCAAATGAGAGGGAAGAGAGGAAAAGAGCGGGAGGGAGGGAGAGAAAGAGAGGGAACGGAAGGAAAGGGAGGGAGGGGAAAAGGAAGGGAAGGAGGAAAAGAGAGGGAACAAGAAAGAAGAGGGGGAGGGGGAGTGAACACAAGGGAGGGAAGAAGGGAGGAAGGAAAGAAGAAAGGGAAAGAGAGGGAACAGAGGGAGAGGGAGGGAGCAGAGGAAAGAAGAGAGAGGGGGCGTGAACACAAGAGAGAGCGGGAGAGAGGAAGGAAGGAAGGAAGGAAGGGAATGAGAGAAAGATGGGACAGAAGGAAAGGAGGGAGGGAGTGAATACAGGGAGGGGAGGGAGAGAGGGAAAGAGACGGAACAGAAGGAGAGGAAGAAAGAAACTTGAAACGAATGAAACATTAGCATATTATTAACATCATCTGTGGCAATTCATTCAAGGCTGATTGAAGCCACTCAGGGGCTCCTTTAAAGACGGGGGGAAAAAAAACGAGGCGCGGAAAGCGGGATTAAAGAGCCGGAGACGTGGTTTGAGCAGATTCAATTCATCCCCAACTTCTTTCTTCTTCTCGATGGCTTCTTGACTTCCCGCCTGTTCCTCGCTGCAGAACGAACAACAGCCAGGGATTCAGGGAAAGTCACCAACAGAGAGAATCGTGAGGAGGTTGATCAAGTAGCTAAGAAGTGCCTTAGAAGGGATGTGGGCGGAGGAATATCTATCTTGGATTATTGGGGAATGTTTATCTTGGATTAAACCAACGGTGGGCATTGACACTTGGAAGGTGGGCCAGGATAAAGGGCCAGCGGTGGGATTCAGAACTTTTTTTTACTCCCGGTTCTGTGGCCGTGGCTTGGTGGTATCACAGGTGTTCATCGACATACGGCCAGTTGCGTGTTTTAGTTGTGCGTTCCTGCATACGTTTCGGTCTCTGGGAGGATTAAAGGCCCCTGGGGATTAAACCGAACGAAGAATGGTCGCAGGTGTCAACTCGTAAAATGTTTCTATGGTATTTTTAGAGCGGCCAACAGAAAGGGAGAGGGAAAAGGGGTCTGAAAGAGCAACGCGGCAGCGTGGAAATCGAAAGCGCATTCCATATATCGTTGTTCAGAGATAGTAACTAGGGGACTTAAGTTTCTGCCAGGCAAATGTCTAACTGGAGAGAGCCTGATTGAGGACTCTGGGCTATGGATGTGTCCCATTGGAGGATATGCATTACGATACACCCAGGGGGTGGGGGAAAAACCAGGGTCAAGGGTGACAATGAATGATGTGTCTCAGAGTCAGCTACACCCAGGCAGTGCCGGACATGGTCACTCCCAATAAATCCTTTTGAAGTTTGGCTCGAGACTCGTGATTTAATTGGGGGTAACTGATGGGACCCTGACAGCAGGAACTGGCTATGGTCAGCCTGGAGGAAGAAAAAGGACTCGGGGTGACACGACAGCAGCCTTCCAGTATTTGAGGGGCTGCTACAAAGAGGAAGGGGATCAACTTATTTTCTAAAGCACCTGAAGGCAGGAGAAGAAAGCAATGGGTAGACACGGATCAAGGAGAGGAGCCACCTGGGGTTAAGGAGAAACTTCCTGACAGTGAGAACCATTGACCAGTGGAACTACTTGCCACCAGAAGCCATGGGTGCTTCAGCACTAGGCGTTTTTAAGAAGAGACTGGACAGCCACTTGTCTGACACGGTATAGGTTCTCCTGCTTGAGGAGGGGGCTGGACTAGAAGACCTCTATGGTCCCTTCCAGCTCTATTCTGATTGATTGATTGATTGATTAGAGCCCACTCAAAAGTTACAGCGGTGCTTAGGGCCTTTGCAGCATCCCTAGGAGGCTTCCAAGAAGGAAATTTGTTTTGCTTTCAAGAAGAGACTGGACTGTCCTCTCTCAGAAATGGTGTCGGGTCTCCTGCTTGGGCAGGGGGTTGGGCTAGACGACCTCCAAGGTCCCTTCCAACTCTGTTCATCTGTACCTGTATATCAAGGGGGAAAGCCAGAATCCTTTAACAAGCGTAATTACCAGTGGTGGGTTTCAAAAAGTTCCCCGATCGGTTGGGTGTGAGTGCGCCCTTTGCGCCCGGGCGCCCACACAGCATTTGCAATTCCCCTTCTGCTGCAAGCCCTGGGTGTCAAACAGCCGACGGGCAGCAGTCGGCTGCATATGAAGCAGCTGAGGTTGAAAAAAAACAGGATATAAAGGTCAGTCCTGCTGGAGGGCCAAGCAGCTGATCATCGGAGCAAAGCGGTTCACTCACGGATGATCGTCGGAGCTACCAGTTCAGCCGAACTGAGCCAAACCGGTAGAATACCACCACTGGTAATAACCATGGTAAACTCGTTTAACAACCCTGGCAGAAAAGGTGGTAAAATGAGGAACGGCTCATTTCAGAACCCAGCCGCTTAGCGATGGTAGTTCCAGTTCTGGGTGTTGTTGTAAGTCAAGGACTACTTGAATTTGTGTTGAATAATAATAATAATAATAATAATAATAATAATAATAATAATAATAATAATAATGATGCTGCCATGGCCTCCTTCTCTCTTTTGACTTCAGCCTGCCCTTGAGGTTTTGGGTGAACATGATCAAAAATCCGCAGTTTGTCTTCGACATTCACAAGAACAGCATCACGGATGCCTGCTTATCAGTGGTAGCACAAACCTTCATGGACTCCTGTTCGACCTCAGAGCACCGTTTGGGCAAAGATTCCCCATCTAATAAACTGCTTTATGCCAAGGATATCCCCAGCTACAAGAACTGGGTAGAAAGGTATGTCTGGCTCTCTCTTTCTCTCTTCTCTCT